TACCACCATTGTTGCCTCCGTTGTTGCCGCCATTGTTACCACCGTTGTTTCCTCCGTTGTTACCACCATTGTTGCCGCCGTTGTTTCCTCCGTTGTTGCCACCGTTGTTGTCATCATCATCATCATCGCACTCATCGTCATCGTCATCATCACCACCGTTGTTACCACCGCCGTTGTTGTTGTCATCGTCGTCACCCTCATCATCATCGCACTCATCATCACCAGCGTCAGGAGTCTTGGTGGGAGTGGCGCCAGTGGGAGTACCAGTGGGAGTAGGGGTCACAGAAGCGACGGCAGTGGAGGTCTTGAAGTGACGGACCTCGTGGACGGCAACAGCCTCCTTGAAGTCGAAGCGCTTGACGGCAGAGACATCCTTGGGGACGAGCGCGGGGGTGAAAGCTTGGGCAGCGAGGGGCAGGCCGCCAAGGAGCATAAGACGAGGAAGCATCTTGAAGGTTTGGGTTGTGTGAAGTTGGCTGAGCCGGTAATTACTTGAGTGAATGGGTTTGAAGCTTTGAAATTATTACGGAGACAGAGATAATAAGTCTGTCTACCAAGCGAGTGTAGATGGAATAGGAAAATCCAAAAAAGAATGACTGACACCAAGTTGTGACTGGAACAAAACTTCAACTGAAGAAAGAGAGGGCGGAGAAAAGAGGGATCGGCGGATGCTGTGAGACTATATACTCAGTCTTGCCGCTGCCCAGAACACACGCACGCAGAGATACGCACACCCCATGCGCCTGAGCGGGTAGTCCTTTGTTTGCCTGTGTGTGTGCCTGCCGTGCCTGACTTAGACCCACGATGCAATATTACCCAACCGAGAGTGGTGAGCAGGTGTGTGGTAGCATCCCGGTCATGCTCGACAGGCACCAATTCCTACTTGGGCCAAGGCATGCGGGTTGGCGGGCCTCTTGGACCTTGCGTTGCGAATCCCAGTTCTTCTGCGTACCCTCTGCTCGCTGACTTTCCAATGGGCTCGTCGACAGTCCGAGAGAGATCTAACCAAATAGCGATCACCCACTTAGACGCACACCATCTAGAGCGCTGATCACCCCCAGAAAGGGGCGTTCCTGTTATCACCACAGCCCACTTTGAGCAAAGACTGACCGATTGTGCTTGGCAAAGGCCGTAATCAAGCCCAGCTGAACCTCTCCCCCGAGCTCGAGGGCCAGACGATGTGATGGGTGTCGTTGGCGGTTGGCTGTGTGCGACCCTGCCGGGCGCCACGTATTACATGGTCACGCCTCTGATTGAGCGAAGCCCGCAAATGAACCGCTCATTTGGGCAACATGACATGCTGCTTAAAATACCACTCACTCCATTTACCTACTCTGTAGAATACCACCATCCACCTGCCGTGAATAGATGCGCCCCTGGCCCAATCCAGTAGGGCTTACTTTTTGCTCGCAATCAAACTCTCGCCCTTCCCCTCCCCCTGCCAGCCCAGCGACGGGGCCTCCCACAGGCTAAGTCCGGTCGCTGTGGAACGATTTTTCTTAGTCGATGGGCTTCGACCGTAGTGAGTTGTGGGGGTGGCAGAGGCTAGAAAAACTCGGCGTCAGGGGTTGTGATCCATGGAACGAATCATGGGGAGCCAGATCACGACTCGCTGCTCATTGGGTCGTCGCAGCCAGAGACATGTGTGCTCCTGTCTTTCGACGAGAAGGAAAAACAAAGCACGCACGGCCGCTTGTGCTGTGCTCTTTGGCCTTGGCTGGGTAGGGGCTTGGCTGGATCATCCACTCGGAGTCGTCGGCTGGTTCCTGGATGCGATACGAGGGGGAAGGGAAGGGGGCAGGGATCAAGGACTGATTCCCCAAAAGGGCCCTCAGCCCAACAGCGATGCTCGCTCGCTGAGGGATGCTTGCCAATCAAGGCGCCTGGACGGCGCATGGTTTGATTAGATCACGGCTGAATAATGCTCGCCTGTCTTGGTCCTCGGGGTTTCCCCTTGCAGCCGCTCTTCCTCTTGTGCTCTGTGCGAGTTGCCTGCTCGGGCCTGGCCCTGTGCCTTGCATGGCAGGGCAATATAGAGGAGACAAAACCCCCCAGAGAAGCATGAATCCGCCATAGTGGGCTCGTGCTGGTAGCTCGAATCTCACGGGATGCCATTGGCCAGTCTCCTGTCCGCCTCAGACAGAATAGAACAGACCGAAAGCTTGGACCGAAGGAAGGGCGCCGGCGGGTCGACGTCTTGGACCTTTGTCTACTCACTTGCCTATCTCGCCTCGCCCAGTTGCTGGGATGTTATTGCACCCAGGTCGTTCTCTCGGATAAGCTCCCGGGCAACTCACATCTCCTGTAAGCACGTGGCCAGGGCAGAGCATGAATCATACAGCATGAGGGCGAGTGATGCGAGCCTTCTCCCAGGGCCGGACCTGGGATTATGTACCTATATCCAGTCACCCGAACGTCGTATTGGGGAAATTGTGGTGGCTAGTCACGCTGCATACCGACCACCTTGGCACCTCACTTGGCGGGAAGAAGGATTCCTACTGCTAAGAAGAGCGAGTGCGAGCGCTCGCTCGCTCTTTGGCTGCACGTGCATTATTACCGCCTGCATCTGACCCGACACCGCGCTGCGCTCCCTCTCCTCAGTATTCCTTTACTGCTCATCCCTCGTGTGGCAAAGCAGCACACCCCCGGCCAACCACCGTAAATAAAAAGCACTTTGGTCCGTCAAGGTTATTTATTTTTTCTTTCTTTTGTATGGATGATATAATATTATTATCCGAAGGCCCTGACAAGTGTGTTTCATCAAACACCGATCTGGACAAGTGCGGCGGCCTTTGACATGTTGGATGGCTCGCCCGTGCAAACACCAACCGTGACCTCAATTTTACGGTCTTACTGTAAGAAAGTAACCATCAATGCCGAACGCTGCTATTTTTGTGGCCTCCTCTTCTTGCTTTGTGTCCGCCTTTTGTCTTTCTGCCCGTTACATTTCAACAGTGCCGTATTCATGCGACTTCCTTATGATTCTAGATCTTTGACTTGTCTCACCTCGCGTCAAATTTCCCTTGCCTAAGCCGTGTCTCAGTCTCAGACACTGATGTGATCTGCTCTTCTCCGTCAAGTATTGTTTGTCCACGAGCTCGTGGCGAAACATGGCCCCATCATCAGAGTCCCCAAATCACATACCCAGGCAATATCTTGCGCTCCTTGGCTTTCGGTTGGTCGCCGCCCTGGCCGGAAGATCCCCGTGTGATACCCGTACGTGTTGGCCATCTAGATGATGAATGAGCAAGGTGCTGCATGGTGGCTCGGCTGCCTCTTCGCGAATATTCCCTCCCCGAGAACCAGTCCCCTTGTTGGCGCTAGGCGGAAATACTGTGCTAGGGAGACGACTTGGGTCGAGGATGCATGCCATGTACTACGTAGACCGTCCGGCCGGCAGTATCTTCATACCTCGGATGGGGTGTGAGATCGTTGAAAGGACGCCGTTGTGCCGGTCTGCGCTGATCTTCCTCAACGTTCCCGACAGATGAGTCTAGAGCGAGAATCCGATTGCCTGACTGCTGCCCCCGAGCAGATCGTGTCTTTAGCTGGAGCAAGGGTAGTGGCGATCCCGGTCTCGATGTCGTTGTACCTGGCCAGCCTTTTTTATTCCTTGCAGCGACGTAACGTAGCCCCCGGGTAGAATCATCAACAAGCCATCTTATTTCGCTTCCAATTATTCCATGTCATACGTTCTTTCCAATACGTCGACACCGCCACTCCGAGACCCTGACATTGTATTGTTGAATTGAATGACCGTATCTAGCCTCTTCGTTTAATTTCTGCGATTCATCAATGATATCAGAGGTGCAAAAGTGCTGATTATTTAGAACACTAGTCGTTGACACATGGCTCGAGTCTCTCGTCTATATCCAGCCTGAATACATTCACGAGCTTGTCCAATTTCTGCTGTAAAATGACATCTAGGATCGCAGCCTGGGGGCATACCTAAAGTAATTATACCCGTTTTACCGCAAATGATTTGAAAATCTTTGTGGCTGTTGTAGACAAGCAGAAGAAGCTCACTGTGTGATTCATGTCGAGCTTGGCCATGATATCCTAGTCTAATGAATAAAAAACATTTCATAATATACGCGGGGGGTATGCCAAGCACTTCATGTGCGTTCACTGGGAAGATGAACATTGTCTCACATTGTTTCGCGTGCTTTCTGGAAAGTTCTCCTCATCCTCCGTCTTCCGCATTCCTGCCCAATGATTCAGACGCTCGTGGCACCACCAAGAATAACCCGAGAGCCTCGATGCATTGAAGCGTTCGGAGTAAGCAACTTGATTGGGGCGAGGGCATGAATCTCGTGTTCCCAATGGGAAACAGAGCAGTTCTCACTGGCCGCCGTTTAGAAGCACACGGCGAACACTGGTTTCAAGTGCTACCGCTAAAGATCATGTAGACCCGGACGCAATGAAGGCGTGGCTACGAGTCAGATATTCTTCAATTATTGTAAATAAAAGCCTCGTGGTAATTTATTCATTTTTACCTGGCACTCTCTGTTGCTAGTAGCCATCCCGAGATTGGCATGTCAAGGCAGAGAAGCAGGCAGGTAAATTACCAGTTCAACGATGCCATTTTGAATCCATGTATTGCTTAAATTTCCCATTATATGTCCTTTTGACTACGAGATGCTGTCAGTATTAAATCTTTCAAATGGTTATTGAAATGATTACCAAAACCATTGGATGAAGCTCATGTTGAAATCGTACCGTACACACCAGGTAACAATGTTTTGCAACAACTAACTCATAATCACCGTAGCACTGCAATTAAACATGGCTGCATATTATTGCTATTTACTTGATCTAGATATTTGGATTACTTTAAGAAAATCGCTAATTTATTGCTGTAATACATGAAGTCAGTGGTTGAGCAGGAGAGCATAGGGTAGGCCATGGAGGACGACTTCAATCACATGGGAGACATTTGATCGCTTCAACAGTTGACAACGACAACAATGATCCAGAGCTTGAGTCTAGTTAAACTTGAATTAGTCACCTCCGCCGCCGCCACCATCGCCGCCTCCTCCTCCATCTCCTCCATCAGGACCGCCATATGCATTCCCTCCATCGCCCGAGTCGTAGGAACCTCCGTCATGGCCGTTGCCGCCGTTGCTGGTGCCGCCCTCCTCGGCCATTGCCCATTGAGAATCACTGCTGACACCTGAACCTCCAGTTCCGCCATGCGGATCACCCGAGGCATCACGCTTCTGAGACACGCTGGTCACATACGAATTCTCCTGGGCTAGGATATAGTGCTGCAGCCACGCGATGTTCTGATCTGCTATCTGAGCCTGCTGCGGGCTCAGCATCGGCCGTACTCTGGATATCCTCTCGGACCATGTCGCTGCCACACACGCAGGCGGATCATACAGCCCATGCGCCGGCCTGTTGAAAGTCCAGCCCGTGCTGAGCACAACCCAGCTGGCGTCCCGGGCCTGGTCCATGGAGACGAGGGACGCAAACCGTCTAAACTGGCTCTTTGGATCCCTGACCTGGCCCTCGTTCGGCCTCGCGATGGCCTTGTCCCAGAGCTTGTCCACCGCATCCTTGGGCGCCCTCGTCCACCCGACCAGACAGACGATGTGGCCGCCCGTCGCCAGGCTCTGGCACGGCGTCGTCGCAGCCCGGATGAGCTCGTCCCGCACCTCGCACGGCTGCACGTCGATGACGGTCTTGGTGTCCCGGTGCCGCCGCAGCTCGTACCTGTGCCCGTGGACCAGCAGGGCGCGGTGTACCATCCGGCCCTGCTCGGCGCGGAACGAGTACCAGACCTGGCTCCCGCGCCCGGCGGCCGACTCCTCGTCCACGCGGGCCTGCACGGCGGCGCGCGTCTCCTGCTGCACGGCGCGCCATATCGACGGCCAGTAGTCCGGGTTGTTGGACGAGATGTGCTGCGGCGCGCGGACGTGCACCGGGATCAGCTGGCGGAGGGCGCGGCGCTCGATGGGTGTGCCGCCCAGGGCTTTATAGCGCCGGCGCTTTTCCTTGTTCTCGCGCCGGTTCTTTCTGATGGTCTGGAAGATGGCGAGCATCCCTGGCAGACTGGCGATGGCCCAGACGGGCGTTTTGTCCCAGGCGAGGGTATGGGTAGGTGATGTAGAGAGGGGACGGACAGAAGTTTGGAGAGCCAACAGACGAGCCGACGCTCATTTATGAGAGGCTCGGCACATGACCTGAGGTTGACGGCGTGCTGAAGAAAAGGAAATTGCTATATTTATATTCTGCACGTTGCACGACCGTTTCTGTTGAGCTAGGCGTATTCGAGTTCAGCCGCACGGGGGTGAGGGGGAAGTGTCGTGCATCGTGCATCCATCCCTCATTCTGCGACAGCTGCGACTCAGCCGGGTTGGTAGCAACATGTATCAAAGGAATGACGGGATTCTTTGGGTGTTGCCATTTGCTGGAATGATTGGAATGACTTATGTGGCATTGCTTCATTGTGCGACTCTGGGTGAACCTTTGTATGCAGCACTGCCTACACAATTAGTGCTGACTTGTTCTTTTGCACGCAGGTACATATTTTATTCACAGCCCAAAGTTCAAACTGCCGACTGGCAAGCTCCTCTCATTCTATTGGATAGAAAGGCTGTTTCGGTTTTCTGAATGAGAAATCCTGATCTATTCCAGGACCGAACTCCATCACAATCACGCTTGAACATGTGTCTTGGCATTGGTGGAGCATCACACGAGGTCGGCATGTAAGGTAAGAAAGCACTTTCAGGTTATTGACTACTTGATATAAACTCCTCCTGCACTGAGAACCTATCTAGGACCGGACTCTCTTACATTCTAGAGCACATATATAGAGGACACATGCTCCAATCAGCTGGGAACCGTCAAGGCAAATTCCTTCACAAGGAGCGACCCGCCCAAGGCAGACTCGGCGAAATTGAACACAGCAAAGCGGAACGCCATGAAGAACTGCCAGCGATTGTGCAGCTGCCACTCCGACCCCAGCTGTTTGAAACCAACCCCGTCAGTGCTGTACTCGAACCTGGCCGGGTTGTTCCCCTTCTCTGGTGTTACGCCAAAGGTTGGATGCACGTCGGCCGTTACTCGCAGCCAGATGTCCCCCTCGCCAGACGCTACCGCTTCGAGGCCCTCTGTCTCCTGCGCCAACTCCTCTCCTTCTGAGGTTGTCTGCCAGCCGTTACCGTTGTCAGCCATGGTGATGTTTCCGACGAGCTGGAGCACGAGTGAGCCAACTTCATTTTTGTGTACGCCAATGTAGGCAGAGTCGTCACGTAGGAGAGCGACGCCAGCCGTATCGCCAGAGACCAGGTTTGCGACGTTCAGTCGGAATGTGGCCGTGCTTTTGGGACCGATGATGCGGTGCGAGAGCGTGTTGCGGGCGGCATACAGGTCGGTCGTTACCGTGGCTGTTTTCAGAGTAAGTCCATCCGACCCTAGAGACCAGGCCGAGTTGTCCGGGTTGTGATTCCATTCCCATCCCTTCCTCAGGGTCTCCCCGTTGAAGGAATCCGTGAAAGGTCCCAAGGGATTCTCCACCGTCTTCTCGGTCTGGATGTTTGGCTTGGGGTACGTCTGGCCCCAGCCCCCATTCTCATCCGTCACCAGGTTCGGCCACCCATCTTCCCATTTGATGGGGGCGAGGGCAGGGATGCGTCCGAGCGGGTAGGCGTCGAGGAAGCTCATGTAGTACCAGTCGCCGTTTGGGGTGTCGACGATGGCTCCCTGATGGGGCACGCCAGAGGTGGGTATTGGGGACTTGATCGATTCGAGGATGGAATGCTCTGTATACGGACCCCAGGGATTGTCGGCTCGGAGAACGTGCTGCTCATTGGCGGGCCTTGTGAGCCAGATATAGTAGTATCCGTCGATGTGGTAAAAGCGAGCTCCCTCGAGGTACCTCACACTGTCTAACCAGACATACTACGACATTCAAATGAATCGTGTCAGCCTTTCTGCTGGGTCAAATCGGGGACATCGGACTGGCATACCTCGTCGCGGACGACACTCAAACCGTCTTCGGAGAGCTGGGTAACCCTGATGTTATAGCTGCCGGACGCGAGATACATGGTATCGTCATCGTCAATCAAGATACCCAAGTCGTAGAAACACTGGTCAAGCGATCCTGCCAGCTCCCACTTCCCTGCTGGATCAGAGGACGTGTAGACCCAGGTCGTGGCGAAGTCAGAGCAGCCATACCAATAGTACAGGCCGTTGCTCTCTCGATACCGCATGGAGCTGGCCCAGATGCCCGCGACATAGGCAGAGCCGTGGCCATCCAGGTAGTACTTTTCACCCCACTCGAGTTCCGGGACCGAACTGCCAATGTACTCCCAGTCTACGAGGTTGTATGAACGGAGAATTGGTGCGCCGGGCGAGTAGTGCATCGTCGAGGCCGAGTAGTAGAAAGTGTCGTTGACGCGGAAGATGTCAAGGTCGGCAAAGTCCTGCCAGACGACGGGATTGGTGAAGGTGTCCTGAGCTGCCGCTTGAAGCGCCATTATGGCGACAGAGGCGGCAGCAGCTAGGATCGACGCTCCCTTCATTATATTGTCTTTATTGATCTCAGGTCCAAGGTGCGTTGTTGTGTCCCATGTCTATGATGAATGGCCGTGGCCAGCAACCTTATTTATAGATAAACATTTCTATTTCTTCCCTCTCCAATTGACCCTTCCCATTTTGCCTGCATCATGTTGGAGAACCCCAGGGCCCAAGAGCAAAATACCCGACAGTCCTACAGCCGCCAGTTGCCGTGCGAATGAGAAGCTCTCGTCGTCTCCCCCGTGGAGAAGTGGAGGTCTGCTTCATTGGCGCGCAAATCCAAACAGGATGACGGGATATTGCTCCGTGGTATTTGCAACCCCGGGGATCTGCACACGCGCCACCCAGTTCCCTGCCCTGGAAATAGCCAAAAGGCTTCCCCAACTTGCACAGAACCCCGTTCCCCAATCAGGCAGTTCAGTTGGGGAGGCGCTTGTTCGAGGGAGAGAAGATGGCGGGGAGCATACAGACAACCGCCCAAGGCAGAAATCTAGATATCCTGGACTCTTTGAGGCTGGACTGACCACTGGTTGCCTTATGACTGAGATCTAATAGTACGATATACAAACCGGCATCGGACATCTCTCCGGCATGGCGGCCGGACACGGAGAAGCCGCGTTTGTGGGTCGGATATCTGTTAGAGCCGGTCGAAATCCGAGATATCCAGCCTAATATCCACTCACCTGGCGAATGAAATGGCCTGTCGTTGGCGTGAGCTATGGTGTAAACCGGTATCGGAATGGCAAGGAGTTGTCTGCAAATTTCAATGCCTTGGTTTTCTTTGTTTTGGTGGCTGTAATAAGAAGAGCAAGTCTGGCACACCCTCAACCTCCTCCGAGACCCCTTTTGCCCCGCTGAATGTATTTCGAAACACAAACCGACGTGACTCTTGACGTGTTTTTGTTTCCCGGTCACAAGTGAAATATAATGGTCACCGTAATCGCCGATTGCACGTTACTGGGCCACTTACCAGAATCAATATGGGCAACTCCAAGGAGGTAGATGCGGCCCCGTTGCCCATAAATCAGACGGAAAAGTCTACTGCTGGAAATGGCATCATAGAAGAAACAGCCGATATCCCAGTGGAAGTCCCCCAGCCTGACAACGCTCGTGGCGGGGATGAGGAGAGAGCTGTTGGGTTGGCCCTTGCCCAGACGACCAGCAACCGGGAAATCTACGACCGCTTCACCAAGAGCCGCAAACTGGTCATCATTTCCGTCATCTCGATATGCGGCTTCCTTACCCCCATCGCATCCACCGCGGTCCTGGTCGCCATCCCCGAGGTCGCCGCCACTCTCCAGACGACGGGCGAGATGATCAACGTCTCCAACGGTCTGTTCTTCGTTTTCATGGGCCTCAGCCCTATCTTCTGGGGTCCCCTGGCTGCTACCTCCTTTGGCCGTCGTAACACCTTTATCGCATCTACCGTCCTCCTCACGGCGTTCAGCGCGGGGACCGCCCTGTCGACCAATCTGGGGATGTACATTGCCTTCCGTATGCTCACTGCCTTTCAGGGAACGGCGATCCTTGTCGTGGGGAGCGTAGTAATCGGAGACGTTTACCATCCAACCGAGAGAGGCCGGGCCCTGAGTATCTTCATGCTGGGGATCCTCGTCGGCCCGTCGGTGGCGCCTCTGCTCGGTGGTGTGGTCATCACATACACGAGCTGGCGCGTGATATTCTGGGTCATGACGGCGCTTTCAGGCGCTGCCTCCCTCATGGTCATCTTCTTCCTTCCAGAGACCATGCACGAGCGGCCGGACACCTTCAAGGGCTTGACCGTGGGACAGAGTGCCGTCAAGCTGGCGAAACTGACCAATCCGTGGAAGATGCTGCACCCTCTCCTCGCCTATCCCAATCTCTGGATCGCCGCGCTGGCCGTGTCGTCTATGATTTGGAACCAATACTCGCTTCTCACTCCTATCCGATACGTGATCAATCCGCGGTTCAACCTCACAACACCAATCCAGTCAGCGCTGTTCTTCCTCCCTCCTGGAGCCGGCTTCATGTTCGGCGTCTTGTTCGGCGGCAAGTGGTCCGACTTCATCGTCGCCCGCTACATCGAGAAGCGAGGCCGCCGCATCCCGGAAGACCGCCTCAACGCGGCCGTGATCCTCCTCGCCGTCTTCATCCCCGGATCCATGCTCCTCTACGGGTGGTCCATCGACAAGGAGGTCGGGGGCATCCCGCTGGTCGTCGTCAGCTCGTTCCTCCAGGGCTTCAGCCAGCAGATCGCCCTGCCGAGCATCAACACCTACCTGATCGACGTGTTCCAGGACCGGGGGATGAGCTCGGTGGTGGTGGCCGGGAACTACTTCACGCGGTACATGTTTGCGGCTGGTGGGTCGGCGGCGTGTCTGCCTGCCATTAAGACGATTGGGATTGGGTGGTACAGCACGATTTCCGCGGCGTTCCTTACTGGTGCGGCTGGGCTTGTGTGGTTGTTGACGAGGAATGGTGAGAAGTGGCGGGCGAAGAGGGTGTAGTAGTAATTAAGATATCCTATAGAATTATTAGATATAGAGCACGCGATAGAGAAATTATTTACAATCGACTCAGAGGCAAAATGGGACACACCAACTGAAAAGAAAGACGAAGAACTGATGAGTTCCAGAAAGGATATGATCACAGACTCGTCGTATGAGCTGGCCATGTGGTTGCTACTCCTCCACCAGACCAGGCGTTCGCGGGCAGTGCTCAATGTATCGCAAATGAAAGTAAATAACCCCCGAAACAGCGAATAATCGTGTAACGGAGTGATACGACTAGATGACACGATGCTGAAGCATGGTATGAGTGTCGTAAGGGGGAAAAGCAAGCGGGGTGAAGCCGCAAATTGTGCTGCTAGACTCACTTTGTCCACACTTCAACTTGCCAGCTCGCCGCCAACCCTTACTTGACAACGATCGGAGCTTCCTGCCGCTGCTCTCAACTTGGGAATGGGATTTTAACGTACCCGCCTATAGCGACTGTGGGTTGCATCGTTGCAGCGGCCGTTGTAGCGAGTACTACGGCCGATCATCACTATATTTGCGTGATGTACTTGACTAGGCAGATAAGTTCTTGGGTAACTAGGTACCTCCTGGAGTCGACTGTTGTCCGCAAAAACACGTATAAGTTGGTTTTGGGAGCTCTACTTGACGAACATCGTTTCTATTCATTGGATCGTCAGCATGATATCATCCCGCCCGAAGTTTTGACTCTAGGAGAATCTGGGCGACTAATGTAAATAGAGTGGTGAAAACCCTTGAGGTTGACGGTGTGGACATTGATTGGGAGTATCCAGGGTGCGTTGCGTTGCAACTTTTGGCATCAGCAGCATATGCACCTGACACACGCTACCTGCTCCCCGTGGAAAGCGGGAATCGAGACGATTACAAACTCATACCGAACTCGGAGCGGAAATGTGAGATCGAAGCCTTCGTCCTGTTAATACAGGAGATCAGACGAGCCCTCGGTCCAGCCAAACTTCTGTCCGTGGCCGTCCCAGGCCAAGAAGCGGACCTTATCGTCTTCGACAGCTCGAACATGCCCCGAATAAACTACGAGGGTAGACTTCATCAACGTCACGTCGTATGAGCTAACGAACCGACGCAGCCACGTTGTGATCCACCACACCGGTGTCGCTGGTTCCAAGGCGGCGGTCCAGCGGTACATGGATCGAGGTGCCCCGCCGGGCAAGCTCAAATCTCGGCCTCCCTTATTATGTAAAGTGACATCGGACGGCGGCCGCGTGTGATGCTGCATACCCGCTTGGCTGCCCAATGCCGCTGAAAGAGGACCCGGAGACTGGGGAGGATCTTGGCATGACGGGTGGATTTAGCTGGCGCGATGAGACGCCTGCCGAGCTCGCCGAATCTTTTCATCGGGCCTTGACACATGGGTTCACGTATGAGGAAAGAAGCTACGGGTACTGGGGTCCGGACGAAGTATTGTGGTTGTCTTTTGATAGGCTAGAGAGCATACGGAGGAAGCTGGTGGAGGTTGTGGGCGAGTTGGGACTTGGCGGCGCCTTTTCATGGGGATTGGAGGAAGACACACCTGAGTTCAAGCATTTGAGGGCTACTACTGAGTGGTTGGAAGCTTTAGCTCGTGGGAAGAACGGAAAGGATGAGTTATGATACATCGAAGGACCAAGTTAGCCGGACTGATGATGATTACGTGGTGCTACGGGAGATTGATAAGAACTATGCCTGTTATTAGAGTGCTTAATGGTATACGGTGACCTATCTATTGTGAAAACGACCCCCCTAAAAAGGCTGGCAGGTTCTGAGAGAGTAGCGGCGTGGAATTGATAGATAGGAACTATGATACATGCACGCCATCGGCCGGGATCGCCTCACGAACTGGAAGCAATGTCCTCGCCACGCCTGGAGCGAGTGGGTAACAATCATGACACCGCAAGCAAAGGGACGCTCCACCCACGTGCTCAACAAAGGATCATGTCTAGATTGCATACTCACAACGGGCTTGGTGATTCCGACGAGCGAGATAACCCTGGCAGGAGAGCGGATATGTCTCGGAGGCCCCCGATCAAGATGCAGATACTAGTCAGAGAGGAGGTTGGTCTGCACCTAACATTACGTCGTATAGAAGGGGAAATGTGCCTGCGTGGTGCATACGGCTCTCTCCACGGATGACAGGGGTGAAGGGCAGGGTAGAATAGAAAACAAACGGGCTTGAAAGCCGTCCGAAACGAATAGCTTGTGCTTATTTTCAAGGTTAACCTGAACAAGGTATGAACGAGGGGATTGACCTGAGGACTCTAAAAGTTAGAACTCAATTAGCGGCATAGATGGCGCTGGCTGAAGCAATGGTAAGAATGAAACATTGAACGAACGGGGTGGTAAAGGAGGATCCATGATTGGAGCTCAAGAATCTATTCAACGCTCCCCAATGAAGAATGATGGAATGATGGAATGATAATGCTCTGCTCTGTTGCTGTGGGGATCAATGCTGGGCAGGTGGTTGGATTGGGATTGTAAGCCCGCAGAGCAAAGTGTGGTGCCTCGTCTCGCTTCCTCGCCATTATCTTGGCCCCTGGACTTCCCCGATGAACAGTAATAAACAAGGTTGAGTTGAAGTGGTGTGTTTGATGTATTGTGTATGGTCATCTGGCGAATAGGAAGCTGTGGATAAGGCACGCGGAGGAAGGATTCTCGAAGACAACTGAACCCCAGTTCCCCACGTGCGGCACTTGAAATCAAGACTTCTGAGAGGGTGGATGATCGTTATTTTCTACTCCGTACATACATACTTAGGTATGTCAATCTGACCAAGATCTGGTGCCTGGTGGTAGCATCGGGAGCAAACAGCCAGTCGTTCTAAGAGAATCAAGCCATTGAAGACCATTCTCCACGAATAACGATACATCCCCTCGACTCGGCCAGAGAGCATGCAGCTGAGCGAATCTGCTTACACCGGTAATATGTGCCTTCTATTTTACCTGCATGAAAGGAACGATAAAGTCCAGAATGGCGCCTCCACAGAACAAACCAACTGCCTGATACAGAAGGCCGCTGTCAGGGTTAGAGTTAGTTGATCAGCCCGCTAGGCTCCAGGCCCACTCCACTGAAGCTTAGGCCCCGCCAATGACTTACAGCGAGATATACCCACCGTCATCATCCGCTACCATTCCCATTACAGGTCTTGTTCCGCCAGTCTAGCGCCAGCTCCAGTGTCCCACCATCTTCTTAGTGATGACGTACGTTTCCCTTCCAGCTCCAGCCAGCTCTACCTTTCTCTCCGTTCTGCTTTGGTTTTCGGCTCGATCCTAACCCAATGTTAAACCGTGGCCGCTATTCATTTCGAGCGGGAACTTCTGGGCCAGGAATAAGACGGGCCAATCGGAGCCCGGGCGCCGCTGATTCTCCCCATCCTGGAGGCTACTGCAATGGCAGCTCACCCCCAACCCACCAGCCCACCATGTCGTCGCCGGACTTGGGCAGCACTGCCGGCTCATCTTGAAATGAATCTCTAGGCTTACAGGCTGTAATGCCCTGTTCCATGCAGAGCAACTCGCAGGGATGTCTCGGTTCCTTGGGAGAGACATACACATGCCTGCCAGTTGACGGCTGAGAGACCCCATGCCACCCACGCACTCACTCCCCAGCTATCCAATCCCGCAACTAGCTCCAAGAGCCTGAGAAGAAGCTGGACCGCGATCTTTTAATGGGGATGAGAGACAGGCATCGAAAACAATAAGAACCAGCCCAATTCCTTCTGGCTTGCCGATCCCTTCTGGCCCAGGCTCTCTCTTCACTCACCCTCATCCCTCCCTCCCTTCACTGCCACTCAGGCTTCTTCTTCCTTTCAATCAGTCAGAATGCGTTGCTCTCTTGCTACCGGTCTTGCTGCTCTTGTGGCTACAACTGCTGCTGCCTCATGCTCATCCACCAACAGCACCAATGGCGTCCCAGCTCCCCCCAAGAACACAAGCCGCAAGATCAAGCGTGTCGATCTGGGTCCCCGCCCCGGATACCTCGTTGATGATATGGATGAAAGCCCTCTGAAGACGGAGCTCCAGCAGTGCCTGGACACTTCAACCAAGCCCTGGAAGGCCTCCACCTGGTCCATCGGCCACCGTGGTGGTGGTACTCTGAACATTCCCGAGCACTCCGTCCAGTCCAACATGGCCGGTGCCCGCATGGGAGCTGGTATCCTCGAGTGTGATACTGCATTCACCAGCGACTTGGAGCTCGTCTGCCGTCACAGCCAGTGTGATCTTCACTACACCACCAACATTGTTGCCATCCCTGAGCTCAATGCCAAGTGTATCACTCCCTTCACTCCCGCAGCTGGCGGAAAGCCCGCCACTGCCAACTGCTGTACTGCAGACATTACTCTTGCCGAGTTCAAGACCCTCTGCGCCACCATGGAGGGCTTCAACGCCTCCGCCGTCACCCCAGAGGATTTCATCAACAACCCACCTTCATGGAGAACTGATCTCTACAGCCACTGCGGCAAGGTCTTGAGCGTCCAGGACCACATCAAGCTCACCAAGGAGCTGGGTCTCCTCCATACCGCTGAGCTTAAGACCCCCGAGGTTCCCATGCCCTTCAATGGCAACTACACCCAGGAGATCTACGCCCAACAGCTCGTTGACGAGTATCGCAAGGGTGGTGTCCCACCCGAGGATCTCTACCTCCAGAGCTTCCTCTACGACGACATGCTCTTCTGGCTCAAGAACGAGCCCGAGTATGCCGCCCAGGCCGTCTTCCTCGACTCCTACGGCGAGACCGAAGAGGAACTCCCCAACGCCGTTGCCAACCTGACCAACTACAAGGCTGATGGCGTCAAGTACCTCTCCCCTCCCCTGCCCTACCTCATCTCTGCGGAGAATGGGAAGATGGTCATGAGCGAGTATGCTATCAAGGCTAAGGAGCTCGGCTTCAAGATTATCCCCTGGACTGTCGACCGCTCTGGTAGCCTCTACGACGTCAAGGAGAACAACAACTATTACTTCATGTACTTCAAAGATGCCGTTAACAAGGACGGCGATGTCTTCACCATGCTTGATCTCATGTGGAAGGAGATTGGCATTGTCGCCATCTTCTCCGACTGGAGCGCCACCCTCACCTTTTACGCCAACTGCTTCAAGATTGGTCTGTTCTAGGTGGACACTGAAGGCTAGTAGTGTGCAGTAATGGTAAAAAAAGGATGATGTAAATGAATAGATGAATAATAATTAATTGTCCCCTGGTCCAAGGAAGAGAGAATAGTCCCGATGATGTGATGTCTGCCCACAGCTTTGCGAGCCATTTTTTTTTTGACAAAGACACATTTAAGAACCCGATAATTGCTCGTCTACTACTTGCTCATGTATTTTCTCATCTGCGTAATTGGATAATCCTTTGGTAATAAAACACTGAAATCTGAGCGTATTTTTAATACCACAGTCCAGGTAGTATACCGTACCTAGCAACAGTAAGTTTCATAAATTATAAAAACACTTATAACTACTTGTAAATATAATAATAGAAATTAAATATATTATACTTTTTACTTAGTTATAATAAAGAAATTTATAAATATATTAGAAGGTATTTCCTAAGCTTATATATAAAGGTAAATAGGTTATATTAGTTATTATTAATTATTATTATCCTAGGCTATAGAGCTAGGCTAATTATATACCTAGTTCTAGAGTAATTATAACTAAGCTAATAGCTTTATAACTAGCCTTTAACTAGTAACCCCCTATATAGGTAATTAGTATACTAATATAAGTAGTTTTTTATTTTCTTACTTTATATAAATAGTCCTAACTATCTTAACTATCCTTCTACCTCTCTATATATATAAAATAAAAGTATATAATTTTAAATCCTTTTACTTTTATTAAAAAGATATATTTTAAATATTATATTATTCCCTTATATATATATATTACTATATTATATACTTTATTATAAGTTATATATACTTTATTATTTAATTACCTTATTACTATATTTTAATAAGTTATCTTAATAATAAGTAATTATAGGTATATACTTTATTTATAATAATCCTTATTCTATATTATTATTATATTCTTCTTTTCCTTTTTTTATATAGCTACTTTAGTATTATATATATATTCTTATAATAATCCCTACCCTTTTAAAATAGAGTTCTATAGCTAATTATATATAGGATAATTATCTTCCCTTTTCCCTTACTTTATATATAGAGATCTATATATTTTAAGATAAGGTTTTATAATTAATACTTATAATATAATCTAAATATATTAAATATCCTCTCTCTTATATATAGTTACTTTTATATTATAAGTTTTAAAGCTAACTATATATAGAGGTACTCTTTATAATATTTATACCTTATATATTATCCCCCCTTATTAATAAGATTATAGCTAAAAGTAAATTTAACTTTATATATTAGGTTTAATACTCTTATTTAATAAGTTTTATAGAGGTTATTTAACTATTTACTTCTTTAAAGTAGTAGATAATAGCTTTCTTAAGTACTTAAAAGGAGTTAGCTAAGATTATAAAGAAGAAGAGTTAAGTAAAGAAGCCTTACTTTAATTAAATATAAGTATTAATAACCTATTTATTCTTTACTTCTAAGGTTAATCTTTAATTTTAATAAGTATATTAATATATATACTATA